AGGCCCTCTATGAGGTGGATTGATTCAGTGACTGGGATAATTGGGATGGGAGTGTCGGAGACAGTGCGATTGGCACAGGACAGAGCGGAGTTCAGGGCTGTTGTACATAGGGTCGCTATGAGTCGCAGGCGGCTCAACAGCACATAACAACAACAACAACAGCATTAATCTTAACATTCTTCCTGTGATCTGAGTTGTTGACAAGAACAGAAAAAGGAAGCAAATCAGTAACAAGTTGACATTAAACATAAACTACAGAGCTTTTGCTTAATATGCCAACTGGTATGCCTGCCTAGGAAAACATTTTCAATTTCAGGTTTCCCCAGAGGCATACAGTTTAAAAATTCAGCTCATCAAAGTGAAGTTAAATGACAGTTTTATTAAAAAGTTTGATTTTGAAAATTATGTCTTTCAGCCAGCGATTCCAGTTTGACTACCCAAGGCTTCAACTACTCTTGGACCTTGAAGGAAAAAGACACTGAAGAATGTAAGTATATGACTGGACACTTCTGAACCTTCAGACCTCAGTCTAACAGAATACATAATTGACAAAAAAGCAAAACTTTACAGCAAAAATATAAAAGTAATTTCTATAGTCACTTGGAGAAAAAAGGAGGAGAAAAAAAAATGAAAATAAATAAATAGGCACATAACAAAACATGGAAGGAGGGACTAGTCCTTGAAGGAAGGACATCATGCCTGAGAGGGTGGAGGGACATAGCAAGAGAGGAAGACCCTTGATGAGATGGATTGACTCAGTGACTGGGGTAATGGAGGTAGGTGTCTCAAAGACAATAAGGTTGGCTCAGGATAGATCAGGATTCAGAGGCATTGTATATAGGGTCACAAGGCAACAACAACAGCTGTGAGATTATGTAAATTGTTACCATCACTTAATCATTATCTTTTAAAGTTAATTATTTGTATACCTTACAATCCAACAATTCTATTCCTAGATATGATGTTGTTGTGATATGCCCTCAAGTTGTTTTCAACTCATAACAACACTATGTACCATAGCTCTGAAACTTACTCTATCTTGAGCCATTGTCAATGTCTCTTACATATCTACCCCATTACCCCAGTCACTGAGTCAATTCATCTCATCCAGAGTCTTTCTGTTTTCCAATGTCCTTCAGCCCTTCCAACCATGATGCCCTTATCCAAGGACTGATACCTCCTGGCAACATGCCTAAAGTATGAGACAGAACTTCAAAATCTTTACCTCCAAGGAGCAGCCTGGTTTCTGTTTAGTCTTTGTACTGGGTGTAAGGCCTAGGACTCAAGGAAGGGACCAGAGAAAGAAAGGAAGCTAAAGAAGCTTTATTAAGGGGTCTCCCAGGTGTGATTCCTTTGTCTGCAGAGAGAGAAACAAGCAGAGGGACAGAAGAGGAAACTACTGCCCCTTAAAGTTGAGTAAGACAGTGTTTTTATAGTAAGGGTCCTTAGGGAGGTAAAGGAGGGACAGTGTGTTGTGGTTTAGCCAGGTGGGTGGTCTTCTCTGGTGGGAAGAGAGGGAAACTGCATGGTAATTGAGGCTGTTCACTCCCTTTGTTGGCATGTTGGTACTCCTTGAATCCTATATTCTCCCTTTGACTTTGGACCCAGCCTGACATCCCAGCCTCCTTAGTGAGAAAAAGGGTGACATATTCTTTCTGGCTACTTTCTGCTGAACAGGTGTGAAGATCTGGGGCTAAGAGGCTAGACTGGGATGGCCAAGGACCAGTAGCCAGTGGAGAATATGGATGTCACAGCAGCTGGTTCATGCTGGTCATTTATTTTATCCTATGAACTAAGAATTCAAAAAAGCAAGGAGTGATTAGTAACAATATGTTTATGAATTATTGGTCCTAGAAAAGAAAGAACCCATGCTAGAAGTGGGTTCTCAAACCAATTTGAGAAAAAGCTTTTTGTCTTTTGCCTGTTCTTTACCTTTTCAGCTTTTAGTTTAGAAACATTTTCTTCTATTAGTCCTGATTTGTTCAGAATATCTAGAATGCTCCGATTTTGGACGACAACCTGTGACAGTGATGTCAGCTGATTTTGGAAGGAGGCTGATGTTATCTCTAGAGCTAGCTGTAAGTGGTCCTCAAAATTCTGGGCAGAAATAATTCTATGACAGAGAGCTCCTCCTGCCATATTTCCAGCAGCTACATCTGAGGCTAGGCTGAGTCCAACCATGATTGGGAGAAAGCTCCTCTCTTTGTTTGAGGAATGGGGAGAAGCCAAATTACTATACAGGGTAAGGTGGAGTACAAATGTTACAGGGAAACAGGGCCCTTTGGTGGTGGAATTTATGCACTTGTGTAGAGTCCCATTACACCAAAAATATTGTCCTGTTTAGGGTACAGCATGTGCACTTATGTTAACATTTTGCACACAGCAGTCATGCTCTTTTACTGGAGGCATGAATGTGGAAGTTATATAGCAGACATGAGAGTACTCTGTCCACTGGTCAGGTTCCAGCTCCCAAAGTAGAACAGGTTCTAAAGTGGTAGAGCACTCAGTTTAGGGAGATTGAGAGGTTTGAGGTGCTTGGGTAAAGTGTGATCTAGAGAAATTGACTGGCACTGCAGCTAGCAAAGGCTGTTGTAAAGAGACAATCAATCCCCATTACTGAGACCTGGGAAGGGAAAAATTGGACCTGAGAAAGAAGGGAGCACTGAAAATGTTGCCCCTGTGTCAACCATAAGGGAAACTGGCTTGCCTGCTACCTGAAGGGTAACTTTGGACTAGGCAAGGGTAATAGGGGTTGTCGAAACTAGGCATCTTCAATCTTCTGCCAGGCCTAAGAGGTTGGCCAGGATGGGGACCAGGTTTGGTGGAGGTGATACCCTGCCATGGCTAGGCACTGAAGGGCAGTCAGCCTTCCAATGGCCTAGTGTCCCACAGATAGGGCAAGGCCATGTTAGAGGGTGAGGGTCAGGGCAGCGGTCTTTGCCACACTTGAAGCATACATCAGGAGGTAACCAGCTCATTGAATGAGGAGGTGTTTTCTGACTACTCACTACTTCTGCTGCTGCTGCTGCTGTCGCTTCCTGTAGGGCAGCTATCAGTGCTTGAGTCTGCATATTTGCTTTTTGGAGGGCATAAATCTCCTTATCAGCCTCTGTCTGTTCCTCTCAGGCATTGAAAACTTTAAAGACTATGTTTACCAGGCCTCAAATGGGTGTTTAGGGGCCGTCCTCAGCTTTTTTAGTTTCTTTTTTATATTAGGGGCTGATTGAGTGATAAGATAAGTAGCTAGGATGGGGGCTCCTGTTGGGGAGATAGCATCTAAACAAGTATACTGAGATGGGGCTTCAGTGATACAGTTAAGGAAAGCAGCTGGGTTCTCATCTTTACCTTGGGTAATCTCTCTAAGCTTTTCAAAATTGACTGCTTTATGGGAGATGGCATGTACGCTGGCTAACAGGCACTGACTGAATCATATGATCATACCTGGCTGGACCATGTCTTCCTGCTGCTATATTAATTTGGTATGTCCAATTTGGCCTCTGCTGGGGAACAGCTTGGGGGCCACCTGGCATGGAGCTATCTGTTAAATGTACTTGGTCTAAGTGTTGCTGAGTGGCAATAAGAACCTGCTCTTTTTCATCTGGCACCAGAGTAGAAGACAGTACAACAAAACGGTCATGCCAGATGAGATTATAGGTCTGGGTTAGGTACCTAAACCCTTTGATATAGGTTGTTGCATCACTGGAAAATAAGCCTAAATGTTTTTCAATTGATAATTTAAAAAAACAACAACACAGAATATATGAGCTTTAAACTAATACTATATTAATCTTAAAGTAAAAAAGAAGAGATAAATTTGAAAATAGTTTCAGTTCTGAACTGTCTGAAAAATTTCATGTGGGTAGAAAATTCTCTAAGGAAAAAGGAAATAAAATATAATTCTTATACCTGTTTAGTAAAAGAAAGAGAAAGAAGAATGTTGTTGTATAGGATTTATATTTTATAAGAATTGGTTGCCTGAGTTTCAATAGAGAGTAATGTGCTGTAATGGGGTAGGAAGCAGGTTGGAAGGAGAGAAGAAAGGAGCATTGGAGTTTAATTCCTTTATCTGTGATGTTTGGTCAAGAGGCTTAATGGGATTATTTACTGTGTGGGGTCAGAAAAAGGAGAGATGATGTTTTATATATGGGTTAGTATTAGAAAAGGAAGGTGATGTTTTCGTTTCAGAAGATTCTTTTTACATGGAAGGTTAGTTAAAAACTTTCGCTGCAGTTTTAGGCTGGTGACTGGAAGAGACCAGCATATCACCCATGTGACATTTTGCATGTGAAATCAGTCTTTTCCCCACCTTAATAAATCTACTACAATTGATATAACATAAAAATTTCAAAACATTTCATTGTTTCTTTTCAAACTCATTATTTGCAGGTATTATAAAGTAAAAATTCGCTTCCCTCAAGCCTTCTACAATTTACTACATACTTTCAGATTTAGCTTTTACTATCTTTTATATTCTGACACAAGCAGACATTCTACTTTAAAGCAAAACTACTTTCATTTTACCTCTTAAACAAAAACACAAAACTTATTACCAGTTATTTTGCTTTCCCTCTTGAATTTCATACTATGCTAAAACTTTGAATTATTATTCTCAAGGTGGTTTTTGTTCAGTAGAATAGATATACTAAGTTAGTTCATGTGTGTTCACTACCCCAAAATGCTAAAATTTAATAATTGCAAGTCTTAATTGGCTCAAAAACAGTATGGCTTGGTTTCACTTGGTAAAGTTAATAGGACTTTAAAATATAGATGCATATATGTATACGCACTCATAACTACGTTTTTTAAATCATGGAAGAACAATACTTTTCAAAGTGAAGAAATAAAAGCAAATACTAAATGTTACTTTACCATGGGCTAAAAGAACTTGTACAGGTTAGGAGATTTTACAGAGAGAGAGATGGGAGCAAAACGGAAAGAAAGCTTAGATTTCTTACCGTCTTTGAGTCCATTGGCAGAAATTGTCAAGAACTTGAAAAGTATTAAAATAAAAAGATCCATTTTAAGGTTATTGAAAATTGTTATCTAGCTGGTATTGCAGCAATGCTTGGTTACAGTAAAAGGTTAGTCTCTTGGGGCTAAGGTTTTCAGCCAGGCCCAAGTTTGAAAATTAGACACTTGACTACCCATCATGTTCAGGTCCATGGGTGAGGGCAGCCAAGATTTCAGATAGTCCTCTGAAAGCCGGAAGCCTCAGATTATGGGAAAGGCTTAGAGATGGGGTGGCATCCCCTATCACAATCAATAGCCTGGAAGCACCTGGTGCTTGGGTGGGCTCTTGATCCAGGCCTGTGGTTTTTGGAAATATTGGATATATGCACAGATAGGATTCCAATGTGGATAGACCTGAATCCCAAGGGAGTTCAAATTTCCTGGAGGGAAAATGCCTGGGAGCTGTTCTGAACAGTACCTGGGAAATTCTATGAGCAAATGAGCCTTTCTGAGGGGAGCTCTGGTGGCCTATTGGCA